AATGTCTGAGGAGGGCAAAGATGCTGAGGCTGAGCCTTCCCAAATCCTCCTGCCCTGCGTATGATGAGCTTTTAGAAATTATGGATCGCGCCACGGCGAGGCTTTACTTGCCGTGAAGCGGTTGAAGAAAGTGACGTCGCGAAGTATCTCGATGAACGTTATTTTTCTGGCAATAACCCTCTAGCTCAGGTGAGCCTTCCTTGCGTCCTGTTTTCCATATAAAGATTGAGAAGGAATGGAAGAGGCCGTTTTTTCCTCACGCATCCATCGATTCCAGCATACGAGTTATGCCAACATCGAGGCGATGCGCGAAAGCGGTTATGAAAAGATGCCCCTATAGAGAGACGCTGGCCAGCTATCTCTCTATGGGTGAGACGTCCTCTAAGACTCCCCTCCTTGACATCTCGCTCGGATGCCAGGGCTTACACAGCAGCAGCAGGTTGGGCTGTCGCTTCATTGCACACTATGGTGATGCTACAAGCATATCAGGCTGACCTGCTGAAAGACCGGGATAGCGGCCTTCACGAAGTCCAGGTCTGAGCCCGAACAACCCAGGGGTCCTAGCCCGTCTCGGTTTGAGGATCAGAGACTGGCTCAGAAGGCTAGTGTCGCGGCTCGCGCTCCTCCTCTGCCCGCGGGTAGGGGTAGGAATAATCTCGGGTCAAAGGGAGGTAAGTAAAAGACCTAAGGGATGTGATCCAGACAGGGCGTCAGCGCTTCTGTCCGGATCAGAGTGATACCTCAGTATCTACTCATTTCCTTCGGGGGTCTTACATCTGACCTTATCTTCACCTTCCTAATTCCCCTGTAACCACCATCTCTCCACCTGACCGAGGTTAGGTGGGCACCAGGAACCAGCAGCATCAGGTGAATTAGGCCCTTCCTCTGCCCCCCTGATGCGCTGAGTGTTTGGCTAGCTTGCAGTATGCTTACCCTTCTGATTTTACAATCATGCTGCAGGTCGAGCCCCCTCTCATTGAGAGCTGGGTTTGTGCTCCCTCAGCCAAGGTCAACTACTGCTAGCTGTTCCAGCATTGAAACATGCTGTAGGTCGAGCTAAGTAAATTATTGCGCTAGCTGTTCCAGCTTTGGAACATGCTGCAGGTCGAGCCCCCTTCTCGAATTGAGAACTGGGTGTGTTGCTCCCTCAGCTAAATAACTGCTAGCTGTTCCACCATTGGAACATGCTGTAGGTTGAGCTCCCTCTCGATTGAGAGCTGGATGTTTGCTCCCTCAGATACAGATTTACTGCTAGCCACTCCAGCATTATAGCCGTAGATTGACTTGATGACTTCTGAAGACATAGCGTTTTGGGGATGCGCTATTTCCATATATGGGCTACTTTTTCAGAAGTGCCACGAGAACCCCTAGAACGGTATTTCTAAAATCCATATAAAATACGATATTTAGTCTTGTTATTTAGTCAAGTAACACTATCTGCCAGTGGGTTAAGAAAAAATATCTTAATGCAAATGTAAACAATATTATTTTTCTCACCGCACCACTTTTTCATCAGACACTGTAAATGTGACAAAAATGGCACGTCTTTTTACATGGGATCCTGTAGGTGAGGCTGCATTCATTTGCGGGGAGTTACATTTACATTGGGATTTTATTTTATTTATTTTATTTTATCCACATGCATTTTTATTTGAGCGGTACTACTTTTAAATGACGTTCACTTGATAACATCTTGTTGCGACCTCTGGAAGTAACCTAATAATTAGAATTTCCTTTAGGTTTTCCAGTGTGGTGCATTGATTACACACATATACTCACTTCCGAAAATGAAGCTGATTACTGTATGGAATAGAAGGATGCCAGATGGATATACGAGATATATGTCATATACAGTGTTGGGCGTAACGCATTACAAAAGTAATACTATTACAGTAGTATATTACTTTTTGCTGTAACGCAGTAATATAATGTATTACAAATCAAATTTTGGAAATATTATTACTCGTTACAATATCAGTAACCAGTGTTGGGAGAAACGGATTACAAAAGTAATACTATTACAGTAGTATATTACTTTTTGCTGTAACGCAGTAATATAACACATTACTAATACAATTTTGGTAATCTTATTACTCGTTACAATATCAGTAACGCAAGTTACAACAACATTTTAACTCAAAATTAAGTGGTGAATTTACCAACACCGCAAAACAGCACCAGAGAAAAAATTCCGTGGGTAAAATAGTTTGTCTGTTTCCTGTTGCTGGAATTAGATGGTTGAGATGACTGCAGAGACGGATTCTACATTTGTGAGATGGACACACTCCTGATATTTTCAGTTAATCTGAGAAAAGGATAAGAATGCATAGTCCGGTGCAATATGTGCGACACCAAACTCTCAACATGGAGAAATAGCACGAGTAAAACCTGGAAACACCTGGACTGGTGCCACTAACACTGAGCTACCGGAGAGAGCTGCGGGGTCAGAGAAGACGAGCGCAGACAAGCAACAAAAATAAGTTTAACTAAAAATAACAAAATCTGTTTTTATTAAATCATAGTCTATAAAATGAATGAATATGTGAAATATTTGACTTAAATAGTCTAAATAACAGATTCAAAAAATGAAAGGAAAAGACTGAGATATGCTACTGAGTTTGGTACACAAGTTATTTGTGTGGTGCGGTGCTCTACGAAAGTCCACGGAAAGGAAACCGAGATGACAGAAATAAAAGTAAACACATTGCAGTTTCGAATGATCTGTATGACCAAAAATGACAGAGTATTTTTTTGTTGTTTCCGCTGTTCGATCGCGCCGGCGCCTCACGCACACACATACAGCATTGCAAATGGTGCAGCCTGTTCATTATCAGAATAAAATACAGTCAACCAAACATATAGATACACTGGCTAATTTAAATAGTGCGTACCAGTGTTGGGGGTAACTCATTACAAGTAATGCGAGTTACGTAATCAGATTACTTTTTTCAAGTAACTAGTAAAGTAACGCATTACTTTTTAATTTACAAGAGAATATCTGAGTTACTTTTTTAAATAAGTAACGCAAGTTATTTTTTTTTTCAATTTATTGATTGACAGCTCTCCTGTCCCCATGCTGAGAGACATCAGAAGATGTTACTGTAGTTCTAAAATAAATATCAATATGCATTAATTCATCTCACTCACAAAAAACCCCACAGATTCAGCATTCCTCAAAATGAATAAAAATAATGCAACTCAGAATATGTTCCTAATAGAAAACCTGTAATAATTAAATGTTAAACAACACAGATATGCTTTATGTATTTAATCCCATTCTATTAACCAATGTCTTTGCTTCTGACCTTCAATGATCCAGTTCAACCGTACTAAGAAGCAAAAATTACTCTAGAAAAACATTTGTGTGTTTTATTGCTGAAGTGTGTTGAAATTGCTTCTTCTGCATTCTACTGTACGGACGTAAATTTACATTTCCTTCAGCCTGAGGCTTATTCATTTCACTTTTGGTGTGAAAAGGCTTTTATATATGCCAAAAATATTACTTTTTTATTTTAAAAACAAACAAGCAAGCCCTGTCCAGATTTAAAAAGTAATGCAAAAGTAACATAACGCATTACTTTCCATAAAAAGTAACTAAGTAGCGTAATTAGTTACTTTTTTATGGAGTAACGCAATATTGTAATGCATTACTTTTAAAAGTAACTTTCCCCGACACTGATTACACTAACGGGGGCAACAGGATAATAAATATTTTCAGTGTACTATTTTTTTTCTCTGATGACATCAGTTTAAATGACAAATAAATGCATGAATTTAATTTGTACTGATATGAATAGGCCATATCTGTGTACAAGAACAAGCTTCACTTAACTCACTGTTAACTGCGCATAACATTTGAAGCAGGAATATGTTGCTGGGCACATATTTTTTGCTGCTGAGACTCGTAAGTGACCCCTTTAATGTGAGCTATAGGTCTATGCTGACAGATCAGGTATGTTCGAGCTCGCGGTATTTTGATGTCATTCACCGATCGGTCTGCGCAGCGCTGCTTCAAGTCGAACACATATTTCTTATGTTTCACATACATTTTAACATTGAATGGATATTGTATGCCCCATTAATAAATGCAGTGCCAGTTCCGTCTCTTTGGATAAAAGTGGAAATACTAAATGTGTTGATGTTTCTCTGATTCTTCTTTATTACGTGTATATTAAACGTTACTATTAATTATTATCACAAGAGAGTAATTGACTCCGCCTAGAGCTTTAATGCTTCACCAAACTTGACTCAGACCTGCAGACTCATAGAAAGAAGTGAAACTGACAGTAATGCAAAGAATAGCCTATAGATTGTGTTCAGAGCAAATGTGTGGCTTACAGTATGCAGATCTCATGCTGAAGAACATGTTTCACAACGGCTGTCGTGTCAAAGTCTGTTCCCCTGTGTTTCTGCATGTTAGTGGTTATAGTTATAGTTAGACAGTTTATAGGAAACATAGGAGGAACTGAGTTCAACACAACACCGGCATCAGTCAGCGCTCGGCTCTCGAGGGAAGATTTAACCTGTTGAGGTGTTTACAGAATGACTGTAGATTAAAACTGCCGGAACTGTTACCACTGAACATCAACCACAAGTGAGGGACTGTTCCTATTACAGTATAAGTGTACTGTACTTTACATTTAAGCATCACGAAAATAAATATATATACTGAAATCTACTTGAATTTGAGTGGATATTGTCGTGGAGAAACTCAGTTCGCTCTCAGAAGAAATAATGACTTCCAGAAGTCAAAATTAGACTTTATTGCACAAAGACAAAAAAAAAAATAGATGCCAGCTGTTCATTTGAAATAGTTTCATCAATATTTACATGAGAAATGTGAAGCAAGACTTCTCCAGTATGACACTATATCATTTAGCAACATTTCAACACTCACAGTCTGTAGATCAGAGGAAGTGAAGAAACACAGGAGGAGCTGATAGTATTTAAAGAAAGAGTTGAGAGCATATAATGAAGAGGAAGACTGAGAGAAAGAGAAAATGTCTGATGAGTGTCATCTGTGTCTGCTGGGACTGATCTTTCTCTCTTCACTTCTCACAGGTAAAGAAATATGTGTTTTCTCTACAAGACATTCAGTGGAATTAGTCTGAGAAAGAGTTCATTTGAACACCATCAGTTTCTTCTTGTGTTTCACACAGAACATACTGGATTATTCCTGAACGCACTAAAACTAGACAGTTTCACACTCAAACATCTGATGCTGAATTATCTTCATATTGAGAGTGTGTTTGTGATTCGAACAGCTCTCTGATGAAGAACAATAGTTTATTCTGGAGAGTGTGTTTTTTGTATTCATTGAGGAAAAAAATAATCTTCAGTTTTTTTTTATACTGGTATGTTTTATGTCTTCATTTACTAATATATAGTATAATCATTCATATGTTCTTGTGTTTCAGGTATCGGTGGAGTGGATGATGCTCATGTGTTCATCAGTTCTGGTGAAGATGTCCGTCTGCCCTGGAATAATGCTCTTCCTGACTGCACATCAACTACATGGATCTATAACAGATTCAGAGATTCAGCAGCAGTTGAACTGATTGGTTTAGGGATAAAGAAGAAAGACACAGAGAGTCATGAGAGACTGAGTCTGGGGTCTGACTGCTCTCTGAACATCAGGAACATCTCAACAGAAGATTATGGCATTTATAGCTGCAGACAATATGTGAATGGACCTGATGCTTATGTTTTTCTGCATGTTCTTCATGGTATTTTTATGATTATGTGGTCAATTTAAAAAGTTAAATTCTTCATTTAATCTCTCATGATGACAGAAGAGTCTGTTATTTGTGTGTTATTTTGTGTTTCAGTCTCTTCATCCTCCTCCTCATCCTCACAGACTGAGATCAGTGCAGGCCGCTCTGTGACTCTCTTCTGTCAGTTGTACTCATATGCTGAAGGCTCTTGTGATGATTGGATCCGTTCTGAGAGAATCGAGCTGTTCTGGGTGAATCAGGCTGGTGTTAAACTGATGAGATCAGACTCCAGATATCAGATATTATCCTCATCAGATCACTGTATCATCACTCTGAATACAACACTCCTGAATGAAGATCACAACAGAGAGTGGAGATGCAATGTTACTCAGAGAGATCAAGTCAAGAGCTCAGTCACATACACTGTCAAGAGTTCAGGTGAGAATGAGAGAGATCTTATTAATCAGTTTTAGACCGTCATAATGTCAGTAACACTAAAGTCTGTTAATATCACTGAAGAAGAACACACTGAGGTACAAAAGCTTCTTTCAGTCTGACAGAAGAAACTCAAAGCACTGCTGCAAACTAATCAACTGCAGTCGAGTTTAACAGTCCAAAAACTGCTGCTGGGAATAATGAAGAGACTGAAACTTGACAGCAAGTTATTATGTAATGTGATGATCAAAGTTAAATTGTGATGGTCATGTTCTACTGCAGGGGCTATAACAGTGATTCAAGCTAAAGTTACTGTGGCTGTGAGTATCAAACCAGGTCAAACTTGTATTGTTGAGAGAAACACACACACAGAAGTCGCATCGGTGTATAAGTCACATTTTATTATTACATTCAGAAATAATGCAAAATACTGGTAAATAAAGCGAAACATTAACAAACATTATCAACACTAGACTTGTATTGTCTAGTGTAAAAGCGAAACTGAAACTGCTCACGAACATCTCATCATTCGGCATGAATCGTTTTCATGATTGAGTCGTTATTCTAGTGGACCATTGGGTTTCTAAGCTATTTTTTATGATGTAAAGAAGCTTCGTACTTCTCTTGTGTCCCAATGTCAAATTAAAACAGCATCCTAAACATGCGTAAAATATGTGTTTGGAAAAAGAGCACGAATGCTCACGCAGACCAGCACAGGCTACTGAACAGAATTAAACAGAGTAACTGAATCACTTCTCTATGTTTAGTTTAGTTTAATGATGAAGAGACTTCGATGTCAAGACATTCAAAATGGCAAAGGGTTTATTTTTATTGGTGTACCTTCAAAAATAACAGTAAAATGCCCTGCTTTTGTAAAATAAAGAAAACAAACAAAATATGCTTGCCACAAACTTCTTCCTGAAGCGTGTCCCAAAAATAAATTCATGTTTTACAGTTCAAGCTGAAACAGTGACAGCAGTGATTCCAGTCCACATCACAGACTCTCAGGATCCCTCAACTACAACTTCATCAGAAACTTCTAAAGATCAAGGTTCTACTGATTTTAAGCCATTGATGATGCTTTTATTTTGACTCTAATAGTCATCAATCCCTGACTATGATGATCTCTTCTTCAGTCGCAGTGATTTCTGTGTCTGCCGCTGCATTCGCCGTTGTCCTTCTTGCTGTTCTCTGGCTGATCTGGAGAAAAAGAGCTGGTGAGTTTTCAGATGTCCTCCTGTCACGGCGCGGTCAGGAATCACACCGTGTGAGCAAGGGTTTTGGGTCCAAATGCAGGTTTATTTCACTGCCAGGGAAAACAAAGGTAAAAACAGAAACATAAACAGAGCTAAGACTCTGAGACACAGGCAAGAACACGCAAATGGGCACTGATGCAATACGGCCACCTCTGGCTTGCATCAGTCCCGGAACAGACACTCGAAACACTCGTAACCCTCGTGACTACAAACAAACAGTAACTCGTGACATAACTCAACCAAACATTAACCATCCGCCCCGAGTGGCGTGGGGAAGGCGCCTAAATAGTCCTCATGACGGGCCACAGCTGTGTGAGAGTGAGTGTGTGCACAGGTGTGTGGAGTGCAGGTGATGGAGTCCCGGATGGGCGACAGCTGTGTGTGTGTGTGAGTGGGTGCCCAGGTGTGTGGTGTCAAGGTGACGGAGAAAGAGTCCGGGAGGATGGGAGATGGTGACCTCTGGTGGTGAGAGGGAGAGCACCAGACGCCAGCCCCTGACACCTCCTTTCTAAAAATTAAATAAAGAGCATTTGATGAAGAGCAAACAAGCACATCACGTTGCTATTGTATGTATCAAGCATGTGGATTATGTGACTATGAGATTCTCAAACAGAAGTTTATTCCTGTAATGTCAATCTCAAAATGTGTTTAAAGAATAATAATTTCTATCATTCAATTGAATGGTCTTGAAATCTGAATATCATTAGCATTGTAAACATTCAGCGTTTTGCATGTTTCATCATAAATACTCATATGGGGCAGTTTTTTTCAGATAATAAAAGATGGACTGACGGATCGTCGGTGAGTTCAGTAATGCCAGTGATTTATATTTGATTTCTGTCTTCACAGCTCAATAAAGTGCAGTTTTAACTGTTTGTTGTCTGAAGGTCAAAGATGAGGATGAAGATAAAGTGACGTATGAGACGATCAACATGTCCACTCCTGCTGCTGCGAGAGACCATGTGAGTCAAACAAACCATTAGACATTCAGTTCTGTTCTATAATGTGATTTACTGAAAGTGGTCATATTACTGTACATATTACAGTGAGAGCTATGTCTGATCTGTGTATTAAACTTGAATCGCTGCACGTTTGCATGTATGTCTAGGAGCAGACAGATGATGTGACTTACTCTGAAGTCTCTTCTTCCAGTAAAAAGCCAGTAAAATCGCTCAGTGTGAGTAGACAGCAGCTCATTCCCTTGTTCTTCATCACTGACTGCTTCAGAGAAGCTTTGTTCATCTATATCCTGCTGAAATGTAGTTCTGAATCTGAGTGTCAGATAAATAAAGCTCATGCGCTAATAGTAATAATGGCATTGATGGAGAAACTCTGTGCTGTTCTTTCAGGATCATAATGATACAGTGACTTACGCTGCCGTCAGATGAACAGAAAACGAGCCACAGGATGAACTTTACAAGAACAAGAGCGTCACAAATAGACATTCATCACTGCGTGAGCTCATCATATCAGCATATATATATATGTTGAATTTTAAAGCGAAGTGCTGTGTAAAAAATAAATAAATTAACTAATTCCCAAGGTTTTACTTATTTAATTTTTTAATCAAATGCTTTTCTTGTAGAAAAAGTCGTCAGGTAGACAGTAGTCTGAGAATTACTTATAATACTTATAATTACTTATAGAATTAGAATTACAGTATAAATTACTTATGAAATCAGCAAGTTTATCCAGAAGAGAGCGAATGCATAATCCAACACCATAATGTTCATAAAACAGTGCAGGGAGTCCAAGAGAAGCACAGTCCAATAAACAGTCCAATGAAATTCAAAGTGACAGACGCGGTCAAAACGCACAATGCACAACACTATGGAGAGTAGCAGCACACAGACACGTCAACGCTCACTCAACCGGAAATGAACAAAGTAAACATCCAGCTGACATTCGTTTCTGTTAAATAAGATGAACGCTGTAATCTATGACATTGTGGAGACGGTAGCTGCTTCTCATTTCTTATTTGTGCATCCTTGTTTCCTTTCCTCACCACCTTTCCTCGCGTCTTAGCTCCACCAAGGAATCTGCCCTTATGTTGTTAAAGTTTGTTATTTAAGGCATTCATAATAAATATTAATAAAGCAAGATGCTCTGTTGAAACATATGACAGGTATGGTATACTTAAACTGCAAAGATAAAATATAAATCTGTGTGAAGGGGTAGGATAATTTATATGTGCATCCGTTTTTTCACCAACAATGACTTGGGCAAAGGATATAGCTGTGTATCCTCACTCATGACTCCTCAGGAAGCCTCCTCACGGAGCAATTAGAGAATTGAGGGGTGTTTCTCAAACGGAAGGCTGCATATCTCGGCTGCCACGTCATCAAACGTCGCTGAAGGCCGTCTCAATCGCAAGGATCCTTGGAAGACAGCCTTCGTTTCAGGTCCTTCATTCAGCTGAATTTGAAGGATGCGTGGGATGTATCCTCCGCGACCTTCAATCACCCACAATCCTTTGTACCCATTCCATTTCATGAAAATAAACTGACGAAAAACGAGTCAGTACTGAGCTTGTCTGAATTTATTATGCAATGTAAGACAAAAATAATGTTTTCGGACATGAAAGGATAGATGCGATCTTTAGTTTTGGTGTAAATTACTCACTAAACGCTAAACTGCAAATAATTTAAGCCACCGGGAGACTAGACGGCTGTGATTCATTGTATTGCATTAATAGAATGATTTGTAATACAAAGTATTTTTCCAAAACTAAGTTTTATTAGTATTTTCGTGCAGTAACATATGTGACGTAGCCACGTGCACTTACTAGACTGTCTCATTCTAGCGTTTAATGGCGAGGAGGACTCTAGCCTACAAGCCTCTGAAGGACTGAGCTAGGAAGCACGCAGCCTCGGTAGGATGCAGCCTTCTGTTTGAGAAGCACCCCGTGCCTCTGCCAAGTGGTTTCGATCTAGCTAATCAATGCGAGAGATTGAGATTGGAGTGGAAGCGCACAGGTGGAGCAGAGAAACAAAGCTACTGTTCAGTATTTCAAGTGCAGGTCAGTTTCAACCATAAATAGGCTATTGCAGTTTTGTCTTTGTTTACTTAGTTCAGCAGCAGCAGCCCATTACTCATCACTCAAAATACTGTATACTAAAGGACATCATTATTATCTATTGTAATGCTACAGTAGTAATTTAGCAGACACATAATCACATCATTTTATAATAGGTTTAGAGGGAGCTAGGGCAGACAACAACACAACCCTTATGGAAATTAATGATGATTTTACCATAAATCAAAAGACAATGATTACTATTGTTAAACCATGGTAACCACAAATTAACCATGGTTTTGCTACACTAACCATAGTTTAACCATGGAATTTGTAGTAAAACTAAATACAAATGGTAATCCATTTGCCCATTCATTTTGTCATTTTGTCAAAAAATCATATTGTCCCATTCCACCGCTGCTAACAGGTACAACAGGAAGAAGAGGTGTACTAGCTCCAGGAAGGGCATGAAAGTAAATCTAAACGCTGCAGCTGCTGTTCTCTTCATTTCATCATTTGACCAAATCCTCTACATGTTTCATGTAAAGAGTGTGATTTATTAACGTTTTGTTCACTAAAGATGACAGAAGACCCTTCCGCATCTACAGGTAAGCAATAAAAAATATTGTAACACGACGACTGTATATTATTTTATTCCATTATTAAAAATAGGGAAACTATTTATATCGTCATAGTCATGTAACCTATGTGTTCTTATAGTCTTTGAATATCGAATAATAATTCTATACACCAAAAGCACATGTAATATCCATTGGACTGAAGGAGAAGCAAACTCATAATTTTCATGTTCACAGCAGTATCACCTCATCTTTCAGCCATCAGACTGTCAGAAAATCAAGGATGCACAGTTGTAACATTTACCTAAAGTGTAATTTAACTAATCTCTGTGGTATAATTAAACCATTGTACTGTGAAAAAATAAAATAAAAGACCCTGCCATTTAATGTGCATTTTTGGTCTAAATGAAAAACAAATAACACTAGAACTTTTTGCTTGACACCAGAGTATGAGTGTAGTGAACACACATATAGCTTTACTGCATGCAGAAATTAAAGGGGTCATATGATGCTGGTAAAAAAAACATTATGTTGTGTATTTGGTGTAATGAAATGTGTTTATGCGGTTTAAGGTTAAAAAACACATTATTTTCCACATACTGTACATTATTGTTTCTCCTCTATGCCCCGCCTTTCTGAAACACGTCGATTTTTACAAAGCTCATCGGTCTGAAAAGCGAGGTGTGCTGTGATTGGCCAGCTATCCAGTGATTGCTTGACACCAGAGTATTAGTGTAGTGAACACACATTTAGCTTTACTGCATGCAGAAATTAAAGGGATCATATGATGCTGGTAAAAGAACATTATTTTGTGTATTTGGTGTAATGAAATGTGTTTATGCGGTTTAAGGTTAAAAAACACATTATTTTTCACATACTGTACATTATTGTTTCTCCTCTATGCCCCGCCTTTCTGAAACGTGTCGATTTTTACAAAGCTCATCGGTCTGAAAAGCGAGGTGTGCTGTGATTGGCCAGCTATCCAGTGCGTTATGATTGGCTGAATACCTCAAGCGTGTAACGGAAATGTTACGCCCCTCACCATACTGTGATGATGCCCTGTCCGGCCGGAGCGTAACATAAAACTATGTCTGCATTTGTGATCGGAGAAATGACAAACAACAAGTGCTACTCTATACTGCTCAAAACTCGCGTTTGAATCATCAGTGACAAATCCTTTAAATATAAAAAACGTACTTACAGTCTGTGAGTCAGAACAGCCGGCATTGTAGTCTACTCTCCCAGGATCAGGACACAGTCCTCCATAAAATGTGCTGCACACATCTGAATATTTGGGTTGAAGTGTTCTGGAACAGTGTTGTAAATACAACTTAACCACTGATTTCTAGTCGTGTCCTCTTTTGGAAGACCAAACAAAGTAGTTTCGCTTTCACAATGAAACAGCGTCACACATGGCGGCCTTGAGTGAGCGGAGGTGGACGGGCTTGAGAACGAATTGAAAAAATTTAACTTGAGAAAAATTGAAATCGCATCATATGACCCCTTTCAAACACAGACTAACAAAATTCTTCAGAAGTAAATATATATATAGTTGTTCACAGCAGCAGCTTCCAAATACAAATGGCACAGTTAGAATCAACTCGCGGGCTTGAGAACGAATTGAAAAAATTTAACTTGAGAAAAATTGAAATCGCATCATATGACTCCTTTCAAACACGGACTAAGAAAATTCTTCAGAAGTAAATATATATATATATATATATAGTTGTTCACAGCAGCAGCTTCCAAATACAAATGGCACACTTAGAATCAACTCCAGACCTTTTACCTGCTTAACTCATGCAGAAATAATGAAGGAATAGCCCACACCTGTCCATGAAACAGCTTTTGAGTTAATTGTCCAAATACTTATGGTCCTTTAAAAAAGGGGGGAGGTACATATTAAAGAGCTGTAATTCCTTAACCTTTCCTCCAATTGTGATGAGAATACCCTCAAATTAAAGCTGAGAGTCTGCACGTTAAGCCCATTATATAACTGTAACTGTATATAACTGTAACTTGTTTTGGTCAACAGCTAACAGCGACAGAGTGAGCGGCCGCCGTAGCACCTCTCAAATATTGCCCGTTCCTGCAGTTCCCGTGAGGAGACGTAGACGCATGTCCACCACTGGCCAAAGTGCTGGAGGAGAGGACAGAGAGTGATCCGCTGCTGATCCAGCACTACATCCTCACGATCACCTCCAGATCCGAGCTGGAAGGTCGACAGATGAGGGAGTGAGATGTGAGTGCCAGTGATGCTCATTCTTCTCTTCTGTACAGCCGTTCATATGTGAACACTGTCGTCTTCTCGTGAAATCCAATGGAATCACATTCATTTAATACATGGAGTGTGGACACCATTTTCCTGCACTTCTCTTATGATGTGTAATTATAATTAACATCACAATGTGTACAAGACAGTAATTAATCGCTCAAAAGTTGGAAAAGTGCTGTTTATTTTTACATATCTGTCAATCTGAGGCGTTGCTATGGTTTCGAGCGTTTTGCTTGACTGACTGATATTCCACAGTCTGCTCAGAAACCTTCTTTCAGTGAGTGGGTCGCCGGAAGGAAAAAATAAACTAAACCATATTTTAAACTTTTTTTCATCAATAATCAAAGCTAGTGTGTCGCTTTAATTATTTTAGAATATTACATAATTCATCATTGCCC